CTAGCGGAAGATGAGACGAAGGTGAAACTTGCTTCCAATTCGAAAAAGGAGAAGCACGGATTCTTGCAACGCTCGAGGAATGCTATAATGGGAGCTGCGGATGCTGTTAGAAGGGTTGCAACAAGAGGAGGAGGGGCATCTGAAGATGCCAAAAGAACAGAAGCGATGGTATTAGCCGGGGATGGCATGATTTGGACCGGTTGCACAAATGGATTGCTTATACAATGGGACGGAAATGGAAACCGTTTGCAAGATTTCCGTCACCATCAATGTGCTGTATTGTGTTTTTGCACTTTTGGGGAAAGAATATACATTGGTTATGTTAGTGGTCACATCCAAATAATTGATCTTGAAGGGAATCTAATTGCGGGATGGGTTGCGCATAATAACGCAGTGATAAAGATGGCAGCAGCTGATGGCTACATTTTCAGCTTAGCCACTCACGGTGGTATACGTGGATGGCATGTGATTTCTCCTGGACCTCTTGACGGGATAATAAGGTCGGAACTGTCTGAAAAAGAACGGACATATGCACAGACAGACAGTGTTAGGATTCTGATCGGTTCATGGAATGTCGGCCAGGGAAAAGCTTCCCATGATGCGCTTATGTCTTGGTTAGGCTCTGTAGCATCAGATGTTGGTATTCTTGTCGTAGGCTTACAAGAAGTAGAGATGGGTGCTGGGTTTTTGGCAATGTCAGCAGCTAAAGAATCGGTGAGACAACAGCTGATTGTGGTTTTTTTTTGTTTTAATGCGTTATTAATGTTATTTTTAAACCTCATTTTGTTTCTATATTAGGTAGGAGGAAATGAAGGGAGTTCGATAGGGCAGTACTGGATAGACACAATAGGGAAGACCTTAGACGAGAAAGCAGTTTTTGAACGCATGGGATCAAGGCAGTTAGCTGGTTTGCTCATATCACTGTGGTGAGTTGAAAGAATCCATGGGAGACCTTATCAAGTAGAACAAGTAATGCTTTATCCATCTGTATCTGTATTAATTTGATGGTGTCCTGAATGTTTTGATTCCATTCAGGGTGAGGAAGAATCTGAGAACACATGTAGGCGATATTGATGTTGCAGCGGTTCCATGTGGTTTTGGACGCGCAATTGGAAACAAGGTATATATTTTTCTGTGTCTTGAAATTAAAGGAAAGTCAGAACCTCAGTTTCATTCCCTTTACCTAAGTTTATGCCCTTCCATTCCTAATTAAGATAATGACATTTGCTTCTAGCGTTTTGTTTCATTCTCTTCAACAATGTGAATCATTCTGATTTTTGATATAGCGGCATCTTACCTGATTTACTTTTGTATGTCAAAACCAGGGAGGTGTAGGTTTGAGAATTAGGGTCTTTGATCGGATTATGTGCTTCATCAACTGTCACTTGGCCGCGCATCTAGAAGCTGTAAACCGCAGAAATGCTGATTTTGATCACATCTACAAAACAATGTCCTTTTCCCGGTCATCAAATGCTCATAATGCACCAGCCGGTATATCTCTAATCCACTTTTCACCTCTCTTCTCTTTGCTGAAGTCATCTGCTTGTGTATACCTCATGGCTTTTAACTTTTGCAGCTGGTGTGTCTACGGGTCCTCATACCACAAAGAGCGCAAATGTAAGCCCCTTCTTGTTCTGTATCCTGTCTAGTTTAACACAAAGCTAATGATCACGGTTTAAAGACCAATCCTGTTACTACCTTTGGTTATTTTCTTTGCTTACCTTAGACCCATCACACTTTTTGCAGAATGTAAATGTCAACACGGAAGAGACGAAACAGGACTTAGCAGAGGCCGACATGGTTGTATTTTTTGGTGATTTTAACTACCGGCTCTTTGGTATATCATATGATGAAGCTAGAGACTTTGTCTCACAAAGAAGCTTTGATTGGCTTAGAGAAAAAGATCAGCTCAGGGCAGAGATGAAAGCTGGAAAAGTTTTCCAAGGAATGCGTGAAGCCATCATCACTTTCCCTCCAACTTATAAGTTTGAAAGACACCGGCCTGGCTTAGGAGGTACATAAACCGCATTTGTATGCAGTGTTTGTAGCATATCAAATGTGAAAGTTTAATGTCGATCCTTTCTTCCTCAGGTTATGATTCAGGGGAGAAAAAGCGGATCCCTGCGTGGTGTGATAGAGTAATATACAGAGACACGCGCACAAGTCTAGAATCTGAATGCAGTCTAGACTGTCCAGTCGTTGCTTCGATTATGCTGTATGTAATCTTTTCTTTCCACAGTACTGAGATTCAAACTATTATCTTCTCAAGAGTCTTTTAACGAATTCTTTTTGGCGGGGTTCTGGGCAGGTATGATGCTTGTATGGATGTGACAGAGAGCGATCACAAACCAGTCCGTTGCAAATTCCATGTGAAGATAAAGCATGTTGATCGATCGGTAAGGAGACAAGAGTTTGGGAGAATCATCAGAACCAACGAACAAGTCAGAGCATTGCTTAACGACCTACGTTATGTACCAGAGACAGTTGTTAGCAGCAACAGCATCGTTCTCCAGAACCAAGATACCTTTGTGCTTCGCATCACCAACAAATCTGTGAAGGAGAACGCCGTATTCAGGATCTTATGCGAAGGGCAGAGTGCGGTGAGAGATGACGAAGATCCACTGGAGTTACATCCTTTAGGCTCATTCGGTTTCCCACGGTGGCTCGAGGTATCCAAACTAAAACCATCAAAATCTTAACCACAGTTCTCTTTCAGCGTGTTAAAATGATTCAGTTACATTTTTTCAGGTGATGCCGGCCGCAGGAACCATAAAACCGGACAGTTCTGTGGAGATATCAGTTCACCATGAGGAGTTCCATACATTGGAGGAGTTTGTAGATGGGATTCCGCAGAATTGGTGGTGTGAGGACACTCGGGATAAAGAAGCAATACTTGTGGTGAATGTGCAAGGAAGTTGTTCGACTGAGACTGTGTGCCACCGGGTCCATGTGCGTCACTGCTTCTCGGCTAAGACTCTTAGGATTGACTCCAATCCATCAAACTCTAAATCCCAGAGTGGTAAGAAGCACGAAGGAGATTCCGGATCCAAGTCTCATAAAAAGAGCGATGGAGACTCTGGCTCAAAGTCTCATAAAAAGAACGATGGAGATTCCAACTCCAAGTCTCATAAGAAAAGCGATGGAGATTCTAGCTCCAAGTCTCATAAGAAGAACGATGGAGATTGCAGCTCCAAGTTTCAGAAGAAGAGCAATGGAGATTCTAGCTCCAAGTCTCAGAAGAAGAGCGATGGAGATTCTAGCTCCAAATCTCATAAGAAGAACGATGAAGATTGCAGCTCCAAATCTCAGAAAAAGAACGATGGAGATTCGAGCTCATACAAGTCGCAGAGTGGGAAGAAAAACGATGGAGATTCGAGCTCGTACAAGTCAGAGAGTGGGAAGAAGAACAGTTACTCGTCGACGGTAGAGGAGAGCCGGAATAGCCATAACAACCGTTGATTTACCAAGTACGAACCTTCTTCAAACTGTAGAATATACTCACACATTCAAATACCAACTTTCATTTCATTCATTTTTTACGTTCATAATGTTTGTTGAGTCCTCTATTGATCTTCTGTAACTATGCTTAGGATAACCATTTTGAGTTTTTGTTTCGAATTCTTTATTTTGTTTTTGGGTTTGTAACAAATATTACTAGAATATTGAGCCAAAATGTATTATTCTCTTTGGGTTGGTTTATCAAATCATAATCGAATGCTGGATGCAACATTAAAGTTGAAGTTTAAATTGATATTTTGCACCAAAAAAGAGTACAAATCAAAGTATCATGATATACATACATACTGTATTAAGACGCAAAACAAAACAACTCGATCATGGACGCAATTAATACTCTTGCGTCTACGACGGTGTAATGTCATCAAAATGTTCTTTTTCTTTCAAATTCCTGAAATCAAAGACAACCTTGTGGCATCACCACACCAGCTTTAACTCCTCTAATATTCTTACAAGTAGAAGTAGCGGACCGACCGTTGAACGTTAGCTTAATATCGTGCAATCTAATCGCTTGGCACGGATTACTGCGACTGCAATCAAACGTTAAAGCTTGTTGTGATCGCGACGTTCCTTGAATGTTTCTATACACAACCTGACTAATCTTCACTCCAGAACCCTACAAACATGATAGAAAATATAACCAAATCAGATTAATTTTATTGTAATTCATGTTGTGTATATAGCTATATTTCGATTAATAAATTTATACCTGACTGGGACAACCTTGATGAGCCGGACAATAATTCTGATCAACAATGATCGGATTCTCAACATTCTTCATGATCAGATTCTGAAACAAAACGTTTCTTACAAAACCATTGCTTTGTCTAGCCCATGTCTTGATCCGAACACCATTATCCGAACCCGAAAAAACCGAGTTTATCAACGTTATGTTTTGTACTCCAGCTTCATTTGCATCTCTCCCTAGACTCCCAATACTAAATACAAACAATTTATCATCATCAAAGATTCAGGATATCGAAAACATTTGAATCTTGCTTCCCAAGTTATTTTCAAATGTGTCATCATAATTACCTGATTCCATGGCCTGGACCACAGTTAAGTTTAGACATGTAGAGGTTACGAGTTCCCGGACCGATAGATATACAATCATCTCCTGTTTGAAACGTGCTATCGGTTACGGTTACACCAGCAGAAGCTTGGATATGGAGGCCATCTGTATTGGGACTTTGGTCTGGAGCCACTAGCTTTACTTTCCGGACCACTACATTGTTGCAGCTGTTTATAACCAAATGTGTTGCTTGACTGTTTATCGACGTTAAGCCGGTCACTATGACGTCGTTTGCCCAATTAAACGTCATTGACTGCAAACAAACAAGATCATCACCAATACTAATTAGGGCTATTTGATACGAATAAATTGATTTTTGATTGAAAACGAATATGGATCGAAATTAAAATCATATCAAACCATTTCATACTATTTCGGATTTAAATTTGTTACTATTTTTTAAGATTCTGAAAACCGAAACCAAGATTAAAAACAGAG